TGAGCGCGGCCTGATTCTTGGCGGCGTCACCGATGAGGCGCTCACTGTCCGAGAACGCCACGTAGGACGGGGTGATTCGGTTACCCTGGTCGTTGGCGATGATGTCCACTCGGCCATTCTTCCAGATGCCTACCACGGAGTAGGTCGTGCCGAGATCGATACCGATGATAGGACCCTCGAACTTGTTGTTCTCATCCTGACCGTGCACGCTCGCGAACAGGAGGGCGATGCCCAAAAGCACCAACGCCGCGACCTTCATCGAGGAGTCTTGTGTGTGTTGTGTGTGTAGAGAGTGATCTTCGCTCTGTGCCGGCAGCGCTTTGGCGCAAAGTATTTGTTTACCTTGGGGGCGACGTGGTCCGCTGCCATTGGACCAACGCACCACACTTACGGAGTGCGGAAATTTCTGTTTGGAATGGTAAATATGTCAGAAGACGTGGCCAAGCGCAATTGGTGCAATCCGTGGATCGAAAAGCACCAGACAAGGCCCATCTCTTTCCAGGAAGCTTGCAACTGGCTGGGTGTGGACTTGGAGGTAGCCAGACTTCTGGCTTCACAGACAGTAGGACTATCAGGCAGTATTGCTGTTGTTCCAGAAGCCCATTTCTCTGTGTGTGAATTTTTGGTGATCTTGTTGCTGGTCCTCAAGTACTGACATGTGGTAGTTCAATCCAGTGAACAAAACAAAGCAGGTACAGTTTAGCTTCTGCACTTGTGTTGCAGACACACTGGAGACTGCAACACAAGGAATGTTTTTGCGCAACCAGGCACCACCGCCTCCTTAAAGTGTGACATTTTTTTGATTTTTTTTTCCAGTTGCGTGTTCACGTAACGCGAGCGTGGCGCTCCATCATACACACCAACCACGAGGAAGATGGAAGTAGTGGCTCGCTACGTGGATCAAGTGAGAGTGCCGTCGGCCTCAAGCACTGTTTGGAAGGATGAATGCGCATTCTCGTTCGAGACCCCTGTACGCAGCCCATCTGCGACGTGCACGACTTTTAAGATCAAGAGCATTCTGCACGGCCTAGATGCTGATTATGTGAGCGCAGGAAAGCGACGAGGGTCTCTTCATCGATCTCAATTCGTGGCTCGCTTTCAGCAAGGACTTTGCTAAGGCCAACTTCGAGAGGACTGGTCATGGCCTCTACTTGAACATCAAGCGACGAATCAAGGTGCGCCCGTACGCCAAGCTTCGCGCAGCCATGCTTATTCTAATCTTCTGCTGCAGGAGAAGAAGGAAGAAGAAAAGAAGGAAGAAGGCGAAGAGCCGCCGAAGAAGAAGGCCTCTATCCTGGGCATTGGTGTGCCGGGCGGATTCGAAGGAGACGCCAACATGGAGCAGGAAGAAACCTACGCCCTCGTCGTGCTTCCCGAGCTTACCTCCTTCCCCATCACCTCAGACGAGCTGCCTGAGAAGGTGGGTGGTCCTTCTCACAATTCTGTTGTTGCACTGGAGCGAGCTGTCGCTAACTGTCACATGCAGGTCAAGCAAGCGATCGACGCCATTGTTGCCTCGGATTCGGCCTCCAAGGTCGAGGACCTGGCAGCCTGGGTGGCGGACAAGGACCTCGAGGTCAGCAAGCACGCCGACAACCTGCTGCAACTCGACACCGGCAGGAAGGTGCCGTCGTCGAACTGGAAGTGCGAACGTGAGGGCTGCGACAAGACGGAGAACCTGTGGCTCAACCTGACCGACGGTCTCATTCTGTGCGGACGGAGGAACTGGGATGGCTCGGGTGGCAACGGACACGCTCTCGACCACTTTGACCAAACGGGCTTCCCTCTCTCCGTCAAGCTGGGCACGATCACTGCCCAGGGCGCAGGTACAGCGCATCGCCAAAACCACGCCAAGACCATCACCACCTCTCAGTTACTATCTGTGTCTCAGTTACTATCTGTGTCTCACTTACACGGTCGTGGACGTGGTCAACAGATGTGTTCGATTACGTAAAGGGAGATTTGGTGCAGGATCCCAAGCTCGCCGAGCACCTGGCCCATTGGGGCATTGACATGCACAAGATGGAAAAGGTACGCATTGTCTCGATGTTCCCACGGCGCTTTACTTACAACGCGGCGTACAGACGGAGAAGACGATGGCCGAGCTGGAGCTGGATCTGCAGTACTCGTTCGACTGGAACAGGATTCAGGAACAGGGCAAGAGCCACAGTCCCATCTATGGTCCCGGTTTCACCGGTATTCAGAACTTGGGCAACAGCTGCTACATGTCATCTGTGATGCAAGTCCTCTTTGCTCTTCCCGACTTCCAGAAGAGGTAAGGCGTTCGCTTATTCTTCCGCTCATCCGGCCTCTCGCTGACGCTTTGATCACTTCTGTGTAGGTACCGCGAATACAAGGATGAGATCTTCGGCCGAGCTGCGGCCGATCCCACCCAAGACTTCCATACGCAGATGTACGTCTTGATATTTGCCTCCCACGCTC